CTGGCAGGAGAGTAGTGGCCCTGTTTGGGGGTCCTGCAGGTCTTTTTATGGGGCTTCCCGCCTCACTCTGGAACCTAGGCTGACCCTGGGGCTTGTTTTGATGCACAGAATGCAGCTGACGGGAGGCTGTGTAAATTCTGGACCTTGAAGCTTCCATTTTCGCTGTCTTGGGATCTAGTCACCACATTAAAGAAACTCAGACAAGTCTACTGAATGCAAAGAAACAACATGGAGAGAGAAAGAGAGGCCTAATTAGGCCCAAACCATCCAGCTCTGTGGGCTGAGTCAGTAGACGTGTGAGTGAATTCGTCTGCGTGTTCCAGCCCCAGCTGAGTTCCGCTTGGGTGTACCACACCAGTGACCCCAGACAATGCTATGTGGGAACCACCCAGTCCAGACCAGCCAGCCCACAGAATCTTGAGAAATCCTTGTTTGCTACTATTTACACTTGCTAAGTTTTGTGGTAGTTTTTTATATGGCAAGAGTTTAATGAAACATGGAGGAAAAGGTTTGTAAAAAATAAACAAACTCCATTCATTCATTCATTCATAAATAAATGCAAGCCGACCAGCCCCAGGAGTAGAGTTACATTAAAATATGAAAGCATGCTTATATTGGAGTATACAGTCAAACTTGGAGACAGACAGCCAGAAACTCTCCTAGCTTTTAAAGAATATCGAAGGGAAAAAAATGAAAGTAGAATAATAAAAACAAGAGTAAAACTGTCAAATGTTAATACCTACACTGGGTTAGATAACACATTTGGGCATGGCTTAAAAAGTGTTGCTCAGAATTTTCAGAAAAAATGTGCATTCAGAGCTCTCACACTCCCTCCAGCCTGTTGGTACAAGCCATGGGACACGAGTAGTACGCCTCTCATCCCACCAACTCCTCTGCCAAGCCAGCCTGGTCAGCAGCTGGGCCAAGGGTAAGCCTAGGTGTCTCTATAAAGGCTCCAAATTTCCCGGCTTCTCTTCTTCACAGCCTGTGTTGGCCTCCTGAGCCAGGTGGACTTCTGCCTAAATGCCTCACCCTGAATTCCTCTCCTTTCCTTTCCTTTGATAAATTTACCATTTTAGCATAAATTTTGCCACTTTAACTGTTTTAAGTGTCCAGTCTGGTGTTATTAAGTACATTCACGTGGTTGTGCAATCAGCACTAACTTTCACCTGTGGAACTCTTTTTTATCTTGGAAAAACTGAGACCTTTTTACCCATTAAATGATAACTCCTGGGGGAAAGGGAATGGGAAGAGATAAATTGGGACTTTGAGATTTGCAGATACTAACTGCTATATATAAAATAAATAAACAATGTTTCTTCTGTATAGCACAGGGAACTATATTCCATATCTTGTAGTAACCTATAATGAAAAAGAATATGAAAAGGAATATGTATGTATATGTATGACTAAAACACTATGCTGTACACCAGAAACTGATGCAACATTGTAAACTAACTATACTTCAACAGAAACAAGCAAAAAACAGTAACTCCTCATTCTCCTGTCCCTCCAGTTCATTGCAACACCCATTCTACATTCTGTTTCTATGAGGGTGACTACCTTAGCTACCTCATATATGCAAATTAATGTTGTTTAAATACAGCATGCCCACAGATTTCATGACACTGTATGTGATACATAGGTAACACAGTCTGTACAAAATAAGTGTTTATTTATTGTGAAACATACATAAGCTACAATGAAATCATATTATAACAAATATATTTCTGCATAAATAAGGACTCTAGTTTTCCATCTATTGCTACTTTTCTAGCAACATATATGAAAATTATAGATATTATAAAAATTCAGAATTTTAAGTGA